ATCTTCCACAGAATCCTCGTCATCATCGACCAGGTCGACATGCGCAGCGTGTACTTTTGGCCTTTTCATAATCTCTGCAAGCTGCAATCTACCGCTTCTTCGAATCGGTGAAGCCATTACAACAGATTTCTTGCTGCGCTTTGAACTTCTTTTCAAAGCAAGATCTGCAGCCCCAACAAAAAAAACCAAAAACAAAAACTCATAAACAAGGATACAATGCCAAATCACAACAAAAAACATAAAAATGCCAATGTGGTGTTTGTGTGGCCACCCAAACAACCATTCCACATCAAACAACAGCAAACTAGAATATCCAAACCATTTTACACTTTAAATAACCATACACTTATGTATTAGTATGAAATGCACAAAATTTAAATACACAACATTTCAATAAACCTAAACATAATACCAATCACAAAGCAGATTAATAACCAACAGATTGATATAGTACCATATTATTAACAAAGCTAGATGCACAGTAAGTCCCCATCAGTGCTAATATTGAACCATGCACTGTACAAAGCTAAAGAAACACCAACTAATACAGTATATGCATCAGTCCGCACCCACAATCCCTGACTGCATCTATAACATTTTCCTCACACACGCTATCACAATTGCTCAGACAAAAACATGCCTTTTATTCATCCCAAATGAATCTCATAAATATATAAAATGCAAACAAAGTATATAACTATTAGGATTGCAATGCACAGTATTAGTAACAAAATGAAAACTAAACAATAGCTCTTCACCAGGGAAAAACCCATAAAATCGCAGAACGAACACTACAAAATAAGCCAAACCATGGCATACATTGGCATCAGGACACTGCTTTATCCACTCAATGCAATATAACTTCACAAATACACACAAACAAAAATGTAAGAAACACCACAACTTTCACACAATCACCATAGGCATCGAATGCATATCTTAAAAGCAGAATACTTTACGAAAACCTATACTATTTATATAGTACTACAACATCAATTCAACAATTCAATGCTCATATAAAACTCAGAAGGATGTCTATTGCACCACAACAATAAAATCCTCTTTAAAAATGTCAAACATGTTGCACATTCACAATAAATTAGTGCATATATGAAAAGGGCACCTTAGCCAGAAATAAACACTCAATCAGATCAAAAAAATGCACCAAAGCCTATTTACAGGAAACAACTGTGGAACACTTCGCACACAACTTAAAATGTAATGCATAACACCACAGTACACATGCTTCAATCACCAAAACAGCATAACAACATAAAAAAACCAGAGATCCACATGCAATACATGAATCGCACATATACATGTTCACAACTACTGAAAGAAATTCACGAAATTCAACCCAAACAATAAAAACACAATTTTGAGCTCTCCGCAACAACCAATTAATGAAAATCTACACTTATAGAACACAAAAACTTGAAAAAAATTTAAAATCCAAAACCCCAGACCCTCACCCGCAGCCAAATTCACCAGTGAGACACCATTATCCCAACAATCAACCAGTATCATGAGTAACAAATGCATCCTCAAACACATGCAAAACAAAAAAACCCACCACGCACAACCCATTTCGCCCAAACAAAAAAAAGAGGCACATACCAGGTACTCCTTCACCCTCCATTTCTGCAATACACTTTCACCGGTAAGAAAACCGCACAAGCCCGACCGAATTGCTTCAAAAAAACCTTGATATTGTAAATTCTCTGCACCACGACCGCAGGAAAAGCAGCGTAAACAGCGAGGTTTATTGAGAAGTGAAGAGTTCTATTCTGAGCCTGCAGCTTATTAGGCGGGATTCTCCAACATCTACGCATTTCAGTAAAATCAAATCTCCCAAATATGCCCTTCCGCGATTCCACCGTCAAAAGTAGTCTAAAATAATAATTAGACTTCCTATTTTAAAGTTTTGATCTTAGCCACACGATTGAACTAATCCTAGGCTCCTAATTCATTATTAGTTCTTTCATTGACATATATTCTTTTATATATATATATATATATACATATACATATATATATATATATATATTATATTGTGTGCATTTTATTTTGGAGTGTCATTTTAATTATGAAAATAATTATTTTGACAAAAAACTATTTTAAAGTATATTTTATATACTTGTTTTAAAATGTTTTGGGTATTTTATTTTATATCATAAAAATTATTGATGTCAGATAAAATAGACTTTGAACATTTGAGAGGAGAAGAATTAAATTCTTCCCCCCTTTCAACCTTTTGTACTATGCATGAATGATGGATGTCATGGAGCTTTGTCTCCCACTTTAAAATGAGTGGAGGAGAAAAATTTGACAAAACGTTATTTTGTCCTTTTATTATTGTTAATGTATTTTTCTTCTTTAATTAAAATGAAACCGTTTTTTTCACTCTCCACTAGAATATTTCGACCAAGAGAGGAGAAGAGAGAGAGAATAATTTGGGTTCCAAAATTTATTTTGGGTGTAGAAAATTGTTATAATATTTTGTTTAAAATATTATTGATATATTTTCTACTATTTAATATACAAGATTAATACTCTCCCTCTTAAATCCTTATATTAAAATATACTATTATCATCTTTACTAGCATAAAGGTTATAGTAGACTCCGGAGATTGTTCGTGTGTCAAAGTTGGAGGCCGGACGCTTGAACGGCTATGTTTTCTCATTCAATGCCTTCCCACGATTCAACGTCATTATTACTAACTGGAGAAAATATAAGTTTTTATCTTTAGCGATAGTTTTAGTTCGTGTTCTTGGGCTAGTAATCATTATTGGAAGTTTAAATTTTGTATTTCCGCTACCCTCCCAACTGTGGTTACCCTTTCAAAAACACCTAAGACGGTACCCTATACGGTACCCCCTACCGTGTGAAGCGGTACCCTGCTACCATCAAGGTACCATGCTACTGTAATGGGTACCGGTAATATTGGAGCACTATAGTGATTGCTGATTTTGAATTTAATTACCCCGTTTTCACTTTGCAATGGCTCTTAATGAGTCCTACGCATTTTAAAACTATCCTAAGCATATATAAACTCCCTCTAATTCTCATGTTTTATAAAACAACAACCTATATCATTCTAAAGCCTTCTTCTATCAATTTTTAGTGTTCTTAAGCTTTGTTCTTGATTTTTTTCATTACTCTTTTGAGTTTAGGATTACATTATTTTTATACACTCACACCAAGGGCTTGTGTGCTTCATTATTTATATCTTTCCCATTGGCTATTGTTGTGGATTTCATATTTTGTTCTTCTCCTACCCAATTCATATTGTTCATTGTTTGGTAGAGAAGCAACAACATGTTTCTCTTGTTTTTGGTAAAAGGTGTGGATAGCCTATAAATCCTCATTGTGTTGAAAGGTTGAAGATAACCTTTAAATCTTTGGTTGTAAGCGGTCGAGATAGCCATTGTAAAATCTTGTTACTTATTGGGAAGGGTTGTTTGCCAAATCTCGTTTAAGTCTTCTCAGTGAAGCCAAACAAGTTCGTGGATGTGAAATCTTTGAGGAGGAGCCTCAAGGTACTGGAGTACGGGGTTCCCGAACCAGTATAAAATTATAGTGTCGTGCTGTTGGAATGCATGAGTTCAACCCTTTCTATATTGTTAAGTGTTGACTCACAGTTTTGATAATTGACAAACACAATTTATTCAAGTCAAGATCAAAGTGCTACAACGACAAACACGAAGACTTGAAGTGTCATTCCTTGACGAATTCAAGAAGGTGCACATGATTTTATTGGAGTCCGAGACGCGTTTGGAGCGCCTAACGGAGGACTCGGAGGAGTAGAAGATTTCCGAAGACCTTTTTATTTATTTGAGTCGTAGGAATAATTGTAAGGATGACAAAAATATCTTCTCTCCAAAATTATTTTTATGAGAGTTAAAATAGAAATTATATTTATTTTTGGAGTCAGTTGTAAAATCTTTTTAACTGTTCAAAATAGTTTTATTGAGTCAGTTACAAAAGGTGTGTCAAACATTTATCAAATATTTATTTTGATATTATAAAATATTTTTTGGTAAGCAAAAATATTTTATTCAAATATTTTTCGTGTACATCGTTTGACACACAAAATATTTTTGGGACTCATTTTCTACACCAAATATTGATCTCATAATTCAAAATTGTTTTTGAATTATCCTTGTTTGATTATGGGAGCCTTCTCCCCTGATTCCTTTGTCCCAAACAAGGCCTTAATGCCAAAATATCCTTCCAACTCGTCCACATGCTTTGTGTTCTTCATGTCTGGGCATTATTGTTGCAATAATCGATTATTACCTCTGGAATTAATCGATTATCTGGTCCAGAATGAACTAATCGATTAATACCTTTGGCTTTAATCGATTATCACTTTTCCGCACAGAAGGAATTTTGCTCTGGCAAATTTAATCGATTTTTTCCAGGTGCATTAATCGATTATGTTGATGCACGAATCGATTAGGATGATGCATTAATCGATTTTTATGCTGCATTTTTCATCACAACTTCTTTTCTTGGACCAACGGATATTTTTCTTCACCTCCTATTTAAACACCCTTCCTTGGTCATTTTTCATAACAAGAAACACTCTCATATACTCCCCATTCTTGAGGTGTTAATCCTCCATCAATCATTCCTCAAATTTATATTATTTTGAGAGAAAACTATTTGTTTTTAAGAGAGATTTCTTGTCATCCATTAGAGCTAAACTTTTTCTCATTCCTACTCTTTTGAGAGCTATAGTTGAGAGGTTAAAGAAGAGTATTCTTCTTGGTGTACAAGACTTATGTGACTTAAGTCTTGGATGTAAAAGTCTTGTAGAGGGCATATCTACGAGCGGTTGTGTCGAGGCTTGTGGGATTCAAGTTCTCGAGTTGTAACCGGTTTGTTAAGCACCCGTAAGCTTAATGGAAGTAGTGGTAGCTTCGAGAGAGTCTCTCGGGAAACTGGACTAGCCACAAGGTGGTGAACCAGTATACATCGGCGTGTTCTTTGCCTTCTCTCTTTTATTTCCGCTGCACTTACGTTTATATTATTAATCTTGCGAAAATCGGTAATCATTCTCAACAACTCTATTCACCCCCCTCTAGAGTTGCACGCCTTGTCTAACACGTACCCCTTTCTTTCTTTATTTTTATTGCTCTTTTCTGCTCCTTATTTCCGTTTAATTTTTTCCTTTGCAAAATACTTTTTAACACTTAATTCACCCCCTTCTTAGGGTGAAACCGAATATGAAACATTAGGATTATGCGATCTCTTAGGTTGGTAGTAACTTCTAGTTGGTCTAAATTGAGTTTTCCTAACTTGAAAAGAGTTAGGTTTACGTACATTTAAACCAAGATCTCTAAGTTTTTGAAAATGATCATTGTTATTCCTAATATTCTTCCTAGGTGGTCTAGTGTCCTAATATCTTTAGGTTGTCTATTAGGATTGGTTTTGGCCTTCCTAGGTTGAGCCTTAGGTTGTTTAGCTGATGGCTCAACTTTTTCTTTGTCGTTAGTTTCATTTCTAAAAACTATATTGTTTTTACGAGATTGCAACTTATCAAGAACTTTATTAAGATTTTGATGGGAAGCATTAAACTTCTTTAAACTGGCTTCATGCTTTTCAATCGTTTCGTTAAGTAATATGAAAGACTCGCATTCTGAATTTTCAAGTTTCTTGGTGCTTCTTTTTCTCAAAAACTTTTTTCCTTTTTTATGTTTTCTATTCTCCTTGGTTAGTTTTTCAACTTCCTTCTCCATTGAAGCGAGTTATCTTCTTAAATCCTTGTTAGTTTTAGGAGAATTGACAAACTCATGATAGAGTTCTTCAAAGGTGTCTTACATATCATTAAAAGAATAACGCTCTTTAGAAAAAGTTGTACATACCTCCTCCAGTGGTTCCTCGTGAGCCATGAGACATAAGTTTGCGCTCTCATCTTCTTTTCCATATCTGGACTCATCGTCGGAGTATCATTCCCAATAAATGTATTCCTGGTGCTTCTTGAACGGTTTCTTCTCCATCTCGTTCTTGGCATTCAGAAATTTGGGGTTGTGTTAAAGGAAAGAAAATATTTGGTAGAATATTTGGAGATATTTGTGTATATATTGTTTTGGTAGTTTTCCTTGTATAGGGATTCTTTCCTTTTCCTTTTCCTTTACTGATTAGGAGTCTCAACTTGTGAGATTCTATATATATGTCCTCATTGTAAATTGTAAACACAGGAGAGAAATACAGAGAATTTCTTCCCAAATAATTCTTTCAGGTTGATATGCCCAACTTCCCCACACCCGTAGCATTTGGGTGGTCCTTGTTGCGTCTTTCCCTTCCGTTCATACTCTTTTTGAATGAACTTGTGGATTTTCTCGATAATGAGTCCGAACTTTTTATCCTCATCGCTTGATTCCTTCATGGCTTGTTCATGGCTCGCGGAAGCCTTGAGAGCTATCCCCTTTTTGTTTTTATTATTGATAGAGGGGTTAAGACTTGTGGACTCATAGGTTTTGAGGTTACCTCTATGCCCGTTGATAGTGATGTTGGTGATGCCGATAAATTCTTGAATGGAATCGGCGTTGGATCGCCACTCTGGAGTGAGATGTCGTAGGACTTTCCTTACGAGTTCCTTGTATGTGAACATCTTCTTGTGTGTGTGAAGGTTGTTGACGATTTTTGAAAACCATTCAAACATGTCATCGACTTTCTCATTCTCCTTCATACGAAGGAGTTCATATTCATGGGTTAGGAAATTGATTTTAGCTTCTCATACTTGATCCGTACCTTTATGTGATCTCGAGATTGTCCCACATTTGCTTTGCGATAGAACAACAAGAGAATTTCTGGTAGTGCTTCAGACTTACTACACAATAGAGAATGTTGATGGCTTTTATGTTGTTTTCTATCTTTTTGATGTCCTCCGCATCGTACTCATCCTCTGTCTTCAAAAACAAGATTTCCCCGACCTTCTTCATGGGCACATGCTCATCATTTTGATGATTTGCCACAAGAGATAGCTTGTGGATTGGATCTAGAGTCTCATTCGCTCCTTCCAATAGGTGTAGTTTCTCCCGCCAAACAACGGTGGCCTTGTTGTGGATTGACCTTCTATTAGAGACTTGTCGTGCGGTACAAAACAAATTAAAAATTTATAAAATATTCTTAGCTAACCCCCAATATATAATCAAACAAAAACTATAGCTAGGGCAAGTAAGGGTCGATCCCACACAGAAAGTTTGTACTTTTGAAATCAAATTAGCATGCAAACACGTTGTCACTAAAAAAAATAACTACTACACATATGATAAAACTTATAATAAAACTTATAACTAAATAAATATAAAAACTTATAAATATAACTTATATAAACAAATTAAAGTACTTATAATATAACTTCAAACACTAAACAAATACTAAAAATAAACTAAAGAATAAAGTATAAAGAACTTATATTTATAACTTATAAACAAACACTTATAATATAACTTAGTAAATAAAAACTTGTATTATAACGTAAAACACGAAGGGGGGGGTGGGGTTGTTGAATAAAAAGTAAATATTTTTTTGGTTTTTTATTTTTCTTATTTTGTTGATTTTTTTGATAAAAATGGGGGAAAACAAGCTCTAAAGATAATCATCTCCTCCAACAAAGGTAACCCAAGAAACACCACCAAGAACCCAAAACAAAATAAAAAAAAAGAGAACAAACACAAGCCGAACATTACACGTATAATAGGCACGTAGACAATATATTACGTAACTTACGCACTTAAGAATAGGAAAAATCAATCAAAGGCAGAATCGATTCATTTCCTTAACCACGATATGGAGGATTGTCAACTCTCCACACGGCCCGGAGTCATGCAATTCAAAGGCCCATTTTGAAATATACCTTAGAACCCCAACTCACCAATCAAGCATGAAAACATACTTCCACTATAGAAAAAGTTTATAAAAGAGCGAATTTTTTTCATTCAACTCCCATACATAATCTATTCACAAACCGCCAATACCTTATGCATTTTAATAAACTTTTTCTCCTAATGAAGAGCACATTTCACATATTTCCATGAACTTTTCAAAGCAATGACGTTTTTTCTATTCACATAGAAGAACACAACATATTTTCTATAAATTAAGAATTGTTTATGAGCTTAAACAACTTCAACTTAATGAAAATAACAAAGAAACATGCGAAAACATAACAAAATCACTCCATAACGAATTTTAAGAAAAATGAATAATCTTATGGGGCTAAGAAGTCCAAAATTCCTTAAAATCAACAAACAAAAATCACAACAAAGAATCACGTATGAATCCGGAGTTTATTTAACTACCTTATGGAGCTAAAATAGCTTCAACAAAAACCGAGTTCCACATATCAACCTACTTATTAAATCGAATTATGCAATTCAACCAATTCAACAACAACTTGCTCAATAATTGAAGAAAACTAGTTTGAATCAATTCTCATTCATAAGAGATTTAATATAAAAATTAAAAAAACACCCATAAAAGAACACCAACCATTTTGGAATTTTCGAAATTAACACAACAACAAACTAAAATGTAAAAATTGAATAAAAAACAAACTTTTACATAGAATTGGACAAAAAAAATTAAATTAACAAATAAGAGTTACCATGTTGTTGAAGAAGATGAAGAAATTAAAGGATTGGAGCTTGAAGAAAAGTTGCTGCCCACCATCGTCGTCCGCCGGCGAGCAGTGGTCTGCCGCCGTCTGCTTCCTCCTCTGGTGCGCGGCTTCAATTTCAGTTGCCGCGGCTCTCTTATTCTTGGTGATATTTCCCCTCTCTTATTCTCGGTGATATTTCCCCTCTCTTATTCTCGGTGATATTTCCTGTTGGGAAATATCCCTCCTACATGGAGAAAGAGTCCAATTTTAATTGGACAAATACTTTACATCTATCTTTTCTATTTGGGCTTATTTTTTGTGTAAACCTTTAGCCCAAATATTTTTTGGTGGCCCATCTTGTGTGGCTACTAACTAAAGAAAAAAAAAGAAGGGATAAGGCAGCAACTTGAGGAAGAGGAGGCAGTAGCTACGCAAGAGACAAAACCAGTAGCTAACGCAGGGAAAAGGAAGAAAAAGAAGATTTCCACCACTCTCTACAGCAGCAACTTTTCACCTCCGGATCGAAGGCCAAACAAAGTCGGATCGTGCTCAAAGTTTAGTATGTGGTTCCTCACATACTCCTCCTCAAATCCAACGGTCAGATTCTCATTTTGATGCCCGGAAGGTTGTTTTCTAGCTGCATTTTCAGACCTGCGTTTTTGGGAGTTTTTACTCCATTTTATGGTGAATTGTTGATTGTTGTTGTTCCAAGGTTACTCCTTGATGATTGTGTATGCCTCTAGTGTTTACTAGAGAGGAGAAATTGTTGTACCCACTTGATTCTTGGTGATTAGTGGAAGTTTGGGGGCCGTTGTTGAGCGGCCGTGGTTTTCTCCCCGATTTGGGGTTTCCACATAAATCGTGTGTTCTTTATTTTATTTCCGTTGCTATTTATTTGTGGTGGTGGTGCTGATTTTTTGGAGTATATAGTGCTTTGTTGTTCATCTCATTAATTTGGGGAAAAGATTTTATACGCTTCCATTGTGTTTTGTTCCGTGCTTTCCCAACAAAGTGGTATCAGAGCTTGATTATTTTTGGTTGGCTTCTTGTGTTGTTTATGATTGATGACAAAGTAATTGTTCAAGGAATGGTTAGTTTGGACTCTACGAATTATTCAATTTGGAAAATTCGTATTGAGGATTATTTATGCTCTAAAGATTTGCTTAACCCAATTTTGTATAAAGAAAGTCCAACAGGTGTTGATGAGAAAGCTTGGACTACCTTGAACCGGAAAGCTATTGCATCAATAAGACAATATGTTTCTTTAAGTGTGTTGCAACATGTTGCTAATGAAACCAATGCTTTTGAGATGTGGAAGAAACTTGAATCCATGTACGAGAGGAACAATGCTATGGGAAAAGCTTCTTTGATTAGGAAGCTTGTTAAATTGCAATACAAAGATGGTGATAGCATTGTGGTTCACATGAACGAGTTTCAAGGTGTGGTAAACCAACTAGCCGGAATGAAGATGAAATTGGAGGATGAACTTCAAGCTTTGTTGTTGCTTTCCTCATTGCCCGACAGTTGGGATACTTTGGTGGTTTCACTTAGCAACTCTGCTCCGGATGGCAAGATGACTATGGAGATGGTCAAGGCTAGTCTTTTGAATGAAGAGGCTAGGAGGAAAGAATCAGGTTACCCTAGCCAAGCTGAAGCAAATGTGATTCTAGAATCTAGTAGGGGGAGAAGCAAGAGCAGAAATCCTTATTACAGAGACAAGTCCAGGGGGAGATCCAAATCCAGAAAGAGAGATTTCATTTGCCATTATTGTCAGAAGCCGGGTCACATTGAGAGATTCTGCAAAAAGAAGAAGAGAGATATGTCTAGGGAGAGAAAAGATAAAAATGAGAATTCCGAGCAGAAGCCAGAAGAGAAGAACACTACAGCCTTGGCATCTAGTGATGATGATTTATTTGTTATCGGTGATCATGGACTATTAAATGTAGCCTGTGATGACTGCACCTGGGTGATTGATTCTGGTGCATCTTATCATATTACTTCACACAGGGAGTACTTCTCATCCTATACTAGTGGTAATTTTGGCCATGTGAGGATGGGAAATGATGGTTCGTCCAAGATCGTCGGTATGGGTGATGTTTGTTTAGAGACTTCCACTGGTTGCAGGTTAGTGCTCAGGGATGTGAGGCACGTCCCAGATATCAGATTGAGTTTGATTTCTGCTGGTCTGCTTGATGATGAAGGTCATGCCAACAAATTTTGTGATGGAAGAAGGAAACTCTCCAGGGGCAATTTGATTATGGCTCGAGGTAAGAAGCAGAATTCACTTTATGTTATGCAGGCCAGAGTATGTAGCGGAGATGCCAATGTAGCAGATGATGCCTCCGGTGATTTGTGGCATAAGAGACTTGGCCACATGAGTCAAAAGGGCATGCAGATCCTTTCCAGGAAAGATTATCTCCCCGACATTTCAGGTATGCCTTTAAACTCTTGTGTTGATTGTTTGGCTGGAAAACAACATAGAGTTGCATTTCATACTCGTCCCCCACATAGAAGAAAGCATGCTTTAGATCTTGTTCATACTGATGTTTGCTCTATGGATGGTAGATCACAACGTGGTGCACAATATTTTGTGACTTTTATTGATGATTTTTCTAAAAAAGTGTGGGCTTTTGTTTTGAAAAATGAAGACCAGGTACTTGAAGCTTTTAAGGAGTTTCATGCCAGAGTTGAAAGAGAAAGTGGTAGAAAGCTCAAGTGTGTCAGATCAGACAATGGTGGTGAGTACAGGGGTCCATTTGAGAACTATTGCAAAAGTCATGGCATCAAGCTTGAGAAGACCGTTCCGAAGACACCTCAGCTTAATGGAGTTGCAGAAAGGATGAACAGAACCATTGAGGAAAGAATCAGGTGTATGCTATCTCATGCTAAGCTGCCAAAGTCCTTTTGGGCGGAGGCAATGTTCACTGCCGTTTACCTGATTAACCTTTCCCCCTCAGTTCCTCTTGAAGGTGATGTTCCTCAGAGAGTTTGGTCAGGGAAAGATGTCTCCTATAAGCATTTGAGAGTCTTTGGTTGCAAAGACTTTGTTCATATTCCTAGAGATGAGAGATCCAAGCTTGATAAGAATACCAAAGAGTGCATATTTTTGGGGTATTTAGAGGATGTGTTTGGGTACACACTATGAGATCCACGTGATAGGAAAGTGATCAGAAGCAGAGATGTGGTTTTCTTTGAAGATCAGACTATTGAAGATTGTGAGAAGAAGCAGGCAAATCCTTCTCCATGCATCACAGTTGATCCAGTTCCATCTCTTCCTCCTATTGTAGTCCCTCAAAATCATGGGGGAGATATGCATGATCATACAGTTGAATCTCCTGCAGATGACCATCATGATGATGATAATCATGATGATGGTGGTGATGATACTCCAGAGTCACAACCACATTCAGATCTGCCACCAGCACCTCAGTTGAGAAGATCCACCAGAGTCAGAAAACCTTCCACGAGACTTTCGGAGGATGATTTTGTGTTAGTCACGGATGGAGGAGAGCCAGAGACATATGATGAGGCTATGTCACATGTGCACCGCGAGAAGTGGTACGATGCCATGCAAGATGAGATGACGTCCTTGCATGAGAACCACACATACGAGCTTGTAGAGTTGCCTAAAGGTCAGAGAGCACTCAAGAACAAGTGGGTATACAGACCGAAGTATGATGAGCGTAGCTCACAACCAAGGTACAAGGCAAGATTGGTTGTGAAGGGTTTCATTCAGAAGAAGGGCATAGATTTTGATGAGATATTTTCTCCCGTTGTGAAGATGACCTCTATTCGAGTTATACTTGGCTTAGCTGCTAGCATGGATTTGGAGATTGAGCAACTTGATGTGAAGACAGCATTTCTTCATGGTGACCTTGATAAGGAAATCTACATGGAACAACCTGAGGGCTTTCAGGTTAAGGGAAAGGAGAACTTAGTTTGCCGTTTGAAGAAAAGTTTGTATGGTTTGAAGCAAGCACCTCGGCAGTGGTATAAGAAGTTTGAGTCCTTTATGGTTGATCATGGCTTCCACAAAACACATGCTGATCATTGTGTCTTTGTGAAGAATTACTCCGAAGGTGACTTTCTTATTCTTCTTTTATATGTAGATGATATGTTGATTGTTAGCCAGGACACCAAGAAGATTGCTAGCTTGAAGAAGTCATTGAGTAAGTCCTTTGCAATGAAGGACTTAGGCCCTGCTAAAGAGATTTTAGCCATGAGGATCACGCGGGATAGAAGAACAAGAAACTTTGGCTATCCCAAGAGAGATACATTGAGAAGGTGCTTGGCAGATTCTACATGAGCAATGCTAAACCCGTGAGCTCTCCACTTGCAGGCCACATGAAGTTGAGTGTGGACCATTGCCCTACAAGTGAGAAAGAAAAGCAAGAGATGATCAAGGTGCCTTATGCTTCAGCCGTGGGTAGTTTGATGTATGCCATGGTTGTACGAGGCCAGATATTGCACATTCAGTTGGGGTTGTTAGCCGCTACATGTCGAATCCAGGCAAAGAGCATTGGGCAGCTGTGAAATGGATTCTCACATATCTTAGAGGTACCTCCAGAATTTGTTTATGTTTTGGTATTGGACAACCTGTGTTAGATGGGTACATAGATGCAGATATGTCTGGAGATGTTGATACTGCAAAGTCTACCTCGGGAAACTTAATGACATTTGCTGGAGCTGCAGTTTCATGGCAATCAAGATTGCAGAAGTGTGTTGCTTTGTCCACTACTGAGGCAGAGTATATAGCAGCTGTTGAGGCAGGCAAGGAGTTGTTATGGATGAGGAATTTTCTTTAGGAGCTTGGTTTGAAACAAGAAAATTATCTTCTTCATTGTGATTCTCAAAGTGCCATCCACCTTGCCAAGAATGCCGCCTTTCATTCTCGAACCAAACACATTAAGAGAAGGTATCACTGGATTCGAGAAGCCGTGGAGGACAAGTCTTTTGAACTTGTGAAGATTCACACAAGTGATAATGGCTCTGATATGTTGACCAAGACATTGCCGAAAGAGAAACTCGTGTTTTGTCGATAGAAGGCCGGTTTGTTTGCTCACTCCATGTAGGAGTGAGGGGGAGATTTGTTGGGAAATATCCCTCCTACATGGAGGAAGAGTCCAATTTTAATTGGACAAATACTTTACATCTATCTTTTCTATTTGGGCTTATTTTTTGTGTAAAGCTTTAGCCCAAATATTTTTTGGTGGCCCATCTTGTGTGGCTACTAACTAAAGAAAAAAAAGAAGGGATAAGGCAGCAACTTGAGGAGGAAGAGGCAGTAGCTACGCAAGAGACAAAACCAGTAGCTAACGTAGGGAAAAGGAAGAAAAAAAAGATTTCCGCCACTCTCTACAGCAGCAACTTTTCACCTCCGGATCGAAGGCCAAACGAAGTCGGATCGTGCTCAGATTTTAGTATGTTGTTCCTCACATACTCCTCTTCAAATCCAACGGTCAGATTCTCATTTTGATGCCCAGAAGGTTGTTTTCTAGCTGCGTTTTCAGACCTGCGTTTTTAGGAGTTTTTACTCCATTTTATGGTGAATTGTTGATTGTTATTGTTCCAAGGTTGCTCCTTGATGATTGTGTATGCCTCTAGTGTTTACTAGAGAGGAGAACTTGTTGTACCCACTTGATTCTTGGTTATTAGTGGAAGTTTGGGAGCCATTGTTGAGCGGCCGTGGTTTTCTCCCCGATTTGGGGTTTCCACGCACTACGTCAAAAACAGATGCTGACAACTGTTTCTTTTAGTTGTCTAACTGTGTTGGTTTTAGTAGTCTTCCGAGCAGCTGTCTGATATATTTACAAACTACTGTTTAAAAACAATTGTGTAGTACGGTTGACGACACATATTTTGTGATCTTTCGGAGTACATGTTTTTGAAGTTGTCCTCGTATGAGTAAGACATCTGTTTTCTGTAGTTAAAGACAACTGTAATTTTTTGTTGTCTATCTATAATATATACTACTGTTGTTTTCGACTTCAGACTCCTATTGTTTGGTGTTGTCGGTCAAAAATATAGATATCTAATTTCAAAAGTAGTTGAAATATATATCAGACTGCTGCTCGGAAGACTACTAAAGGAAATAGTATTAGACAACTGTTATCTTGTGTTATATTTCTAAAACATAGACTACTAATTTTGTTGTATGTTAAACAACCGTTTCTTTTAATTGTATAGTGTGCAATAACACTATGCTTTTTTGCAGTTGTCTTTGAAATATTCAAACTATATTTTTGAACAATAGTGTAATTGATTATCAGACAGCTGCTCGGAAGATCACTACAAATATTTTCATCAAACAACTGTTATTTTGTATTGTATGTACAAATTGAGACTACTACTTTAGTCTTATTTTAAACAGCTGTTTGTTTTAGTTGTATAACGATTATTAACACTATGATTTTGTTTAGTTGTCTTTGAAATATTCAAACTATATGTTCGAGTAGTAATCAAATTGGTGATCAGACAACTGCTTGAAAGACCCCTAGAAATATTTGCATCGAACAACTGTTGTTTTTTAAGATATATCTAGAACATAGAAGACTATTTTGTTTCATTTCAAACCACTATGTGTTTCAGATGTCTAGTAGTGATTAACACTACAGGTGTGTGTAGTTGTCGGCATACGATTTAAACTATCAAGTTGAACAGTGGTCAAATTATTTATCTGAACACAGTTATTTTATGTTGTATCTCTAAATCATTGACACCCATTTTTAATAATTAAAAATTTGTTTCAAATATAAAATATTAATCACGAAACAAAAATAAATCATATATTCAAAATATTAATATCATCTAATAACTTAATATTTACTTAAATATTAGTGGAGCAACTTAATGCACCATACATTTTACAAAGGTTTAAAAAAGGCAACACATTTTGGATAATGATACAACATCAAAATAAAATTTGTGCAAAGTGACTATCATAGGCAGAGTATGTGGAGGAGTGAGTATCATAGGCATAATGACTTCTTGTACTTTACTTGCCTCTCAAACTTGCAAGATTAAGACCATTCCCTGATAACCAATATCAACAGTCCTTGGGGTTGAGTCTAGCAATATCATTGTGGCGATAACCGCGATCAATTCCCTATACAAAAATAATTTAAAAAATCATCATTTTTCTACCAAATCCCAATGTCTGATCTTCACACAAATCATACTCACAAATTAACACATAGTATACTGCAAGAGCTCACTCATGTGTAGAACATTACTAAAGTATAATCAAAACAAAAAACTAGACAGGATAAAGCACAATGACAAACTAAGTAGGAATACTAATAGCCAGTTATTCACTTAAAAGATGCATCAACAACTCATGGTAAAACTATAAGTCTATTGCACATCCACTAAACTTAGCACTCATTAGCATCTTCATTTGTAGAAATGAATAAAAGATTCCAAATACACACAAGTGGAAGAAAGTTAGTCATTGAAATAAACCTCTATAAAGTAAATACTTGATCAATTTGAAAAATAAGGAAAAGGGTAAGAAAAATATCTTTTTTGAAGTGCTCTTTAGATTCTAAATTTGGAAGTTATGTTCATAATTTGGCAAAATGGCAGTAACATTTTGGATTAGCTGAGATGACTACCCCTTTAAATTAAGTACAAGTAAAGCAAGGCCCTAGTTTGTATGCAAGTCACAAAACAAACACTTAAAAAAATCCTTGTACATGAACCACATGAACTAAAGCACCAAGACATTTACCTCGCCAAATGTTGATATGCTTCTCAGGAGATTGAATCGGAAACTTCAATTTGGTGCACTTCCAAAGATAATCAAATCTAGAAAACTTGTTCCTTCTCAAAACAAGTGTCTCAACAACCGGAAAGAGCTGCAAGGACTCATCCATGAGAAGCAAGTCATTGCAAGCACATTAAACAATTGACAAACGGTTCCACTTCCACGAAGCCTTTATATCAGCAATCCTACTTGCAAAGACATGCCGCAATGCATCCTATGATAATTTTATTAAATGGGAATTCATTCATTCATTTTAGTCTAGGAGATTTTTTATAATATGTGAGAACTTTTCAGTAAAATCAGGGGGAGAGAACTTACTGATGAATTATGGCAAATCAATTTCTTCAAAGTATGTCTCAGCTCCGGAAGTCCCAGGGCGGCAGAGGCAGATAGATCACACTCTCTAAGCTCCAGAACCTTCAGTCTAGTAAAAGGTAGAAACGACAATGGGGAGGGGTCCTTGGTCGGCGGCGACAACACGGATACAACTTTCAAAGACGGGATGCAAAATACTTTGCCTTGACTAAAATGCAAAGAAAAGAAAAAAAAATAATGCTCTAAGAAAATTGGGCGGCTGTAAATCTGGGCCTTCCCTGGTGCCGCCCTATGTACTACCACTCTTGTTCAGCTTCTTCACTTCTCCCAAGAGGGTTGCCATATTTGGTTCTCATTCCTACAAATAGGAATACCAAACCCATCAGTGGAATCAAGAATAAAGTAAGCAACTAATTGTCTTTTTAGTAATCCAGCCCTCTTAATTTGAAGAATTTTAGGGAAATGATTCAAATTAAGTTCAAAAGACAATGCCTCTTTGTGGTTTGTTGAAAATTTAACATCATTAGCCCTAAAGTGTTTCAAAAAATCATGTATGAGGCCAAACTTTTCACTCTTAGTAAACAGCTTCTTTAGTTCATTTTCATCCCTAACAAAGAAATGTTTAAAATTGACAACTACATGCAAATGAACTAAAGTAGTGTGGTCCTCTTTAACTTTAGGAATGGGGTTGATATCATTTTCAACAGAAAGCACCTCTTTCATGGATTCAATGTCATTTAACTTAGTCTTGGAGGTTACTTCTTTTTGAAATTCAAATGAAATCTTCTTTTCAAACTCAAAGTTGGTTGAAACTTTTTCATTTTTATTTTCTTCCAAATTGTCAATTTCATTACTTTGACATTCAACCAGAGTATAAACAAGGTTTCAATTCTCAAACAAAACTCAAATTCAATTTTAAAATCAGCTCTTAAAGTCTCAGTTTCTTTTAGAAAATCATCATCAAAATCATATTCTCTTGAAAATTCAGCATCTAAAACTTCAGTTTGTTCATGAAAACTAGCTTCACTATTTGATTCATTTGAAAATTCAGCCCCTAAAGTATCACTTTCCTCAAATCGGTATGGCCTTGACTCCCCTCAATCCCCCACCAGCAAGGAATTTAAGAGAACAACCTAAAATATATGGTTAGTGCAATCCTAGAGTCAAGCCAATGTAACTTTTAGGACTCTAGGGTCTTCCTAGACGTTACTCAATCAAGCACTTCTAAATGGCCAGTTCAGAAACTCAATTAAGTTTGTTGTACAATTCATCCCTATTTCAGGTTTCCTTGCTAGAGTTCATATATTAAAAAATAGGTTTATGAATTTCACTGGTAAAGGACAAAAGTGTGACTAATAATTTTTCACGTAAATTTAGTGGGACAAAAGTAGTAATTAATTTATACTTTAATTTAATTACCTAAAAAGTTAAACAAATTGTATAAAAGTTTTCCAAAAATAAAAGTATTTTTAAATAATTAACCTCAACCCTCAAGATTGGGATATGCGTGTCACTAATTTCATTGCCAAACTTTATTAATGGTCTGCAAACCTGAAATCCACCATCGCCATGCCTGAAATTTTAGAAAACATTTAACCTGAAATGGTCAAATGGTCTGAAAAAATTAGACCCATTCTCTTTGCTGTAGATCCACCATCGCCGGGCCGCCATTTTTGAGCTCCACCAGAAGAAACCATCTTCCTCAATCTTGCTCCGCTACTCGCGCTAAAGACTAGATAGATGTCTCACCCAAGCGGCCAAGCTTGACTTCAAGAGGTACGTCATGGAGAAGGCGACGTCGGTGAACAAGGCCTTGGAAGGCGCAATCTTGCTGAAGGAGCCGCTCAAGATCCATGAATCCATGAGGTACTTCCTCCACGCCACTAAAGTTGGGAGAGGAACCCCTTGGACGTGTGATACAGGTCGGAAGGATGCCCGCGCTCTCCTCTCTCGAAATCTATACTGGGTTTCTGAATGAAGAAGGGAATGAATGAAATTGGATGCGGGAGTTTCTGAATGACGAAGGGAATGGGTGAAATTGGAGGCGGGACTAGGGTTACATAGTTTTGGCCAAATTTTCACTCAAAAAAATTTAGTCCCTCCAATTTTGCATATGTTATTCAAAGTGAAATTAGAGGCGGGAGAAGGAGGGATACATATTTTTTGGCCAAATCTTTTTTAAAATAATAGGTTCCTCAATTTTTGTTTAAATTCTTAGGTATCATTTTAAAATATAGTATTTTTAAAAAAAACTGATTTAGCTTGAATTTTTTTTTCTATACTTTTTTTCATTTCAAAATTCTAAACTAATTTTTTTTAATTTTTAAAAATGATAGATTTCAATTCATTTTAACAAAAAAATAGGTATTCTCTCTTTTTTTTTTGTGGACTTAAAATTTTTAACTTAATATTTTCCCTCTCCTTTGCCAAAATTTTTTCCCTCTCCTTCTTTTGTCAAAACTTTTATCTTTCCTCTGTTTTTTCATCCCCTCTACCCTGCTAAGTTTCACTTCTTTAGATTTTATCCTTAATTAGTTTAATTTTATACTCTGTATTTTTTATTTAAAAAAATTTGTAATTTTTTAAAATGATATCACTCAAAATAGAAGTAAGAAAGAGAGAATCTACTAAAATAGACTATTAATGTTTTTAATCTCAAAATAAAAGTTTTTATTTTGACATTTTATATTGACCCTTATAGAGTATTTTTTGGTAATATGTGTTGAGATTATTGGAATTGTAACTCCGATTTTGTAAATAGAAATATGTAACTTCGATTTTGACTAGTATCTGATAATGGTTTTTAACATGCATGTACTCCCTCCGTTCCAAATTGTTTGGGATATTTTGGAGGATGTTTAAAATATCATCTTTTTTAAAATAATTTTATTTAAAAAGATAATTGGTAAATAAATAAAAAATAAAAATTATACATACAATTCCTTAGGATACTCATACTTTTGACCGTATAAGATCTTACCGGTACTGATAACTGAACTAGTTAACTGCATAGATCAGATTCTTTTAATACTCATATTTTTGGTCGTATAAGATCTTACTGGTACTGATAACAGAACAAGGTAATTGCACAAATCCAATTCTTCAAAATACTCATACTTTTGACCATATAAGATCTTATAAGTACTAATGATTGTACTTGTTACTCACATTGATCTAATTTCTCAGGATACACATACTTTTAACCATATAAGATCTTATCGGTACTGATAACTAAACTGCTTAATTACACTGATCAAATTCTTCTAAATACTTATATTTTGGCCATATAAGATCTTACTAGTACTAATAACAGAACAAGGTAATTGCGCAGATCCAATTCTTCTAAACACTCATATTTTTGATCGTATAAGATCTTACAAGTATTGATAACTGACATTATAGAGTATTTTTTGGTATTATGTGTGGAGATTATTAGCATTGAAACTCCAATTTTGTAAATAAAAACATGTAACTCCGATTTTGACTAGTATCTTACAACTACTGCTAACTCCGATTTTAAACGCATTAAAGATCTAATCTTTAAACGATCTTAAATCAAACCTAGTTAGATTGAATTAGACCAAAACAGATCTAATCGGATCAAATCAAATTCAAATTCAATAAGATCATATCAAATCTTCAAAAAGATCTATTTATTTGTACACGTTGTGTCTTATTTCCGTGATCTAATCTTTAAATGCATCGGATCGTACCTAATTAGATCAAATCGGATAAAAATAGATCTAATCGGATCAAATCAAATTCAAAACCCAATAAGATCAGATCAAATCTTTCAAGAAAATCTAAACTTTTATATCGGTTGTGTCCTATTTTCCTGATGTAATCTTTAAAAGGATCAGATTGGACCTAATTAGATTGAATTGAACCAAAACAGATCTAATCTGATCAAATAAAATTCGAATATAATAAGATCAAATCAAATCTTCAAAGAAGATCTATTTAATTGTATAAGTTGTGTCCCAATTGCCTGATATAATCTTTAAATGCATCAGATCGGACATAATTAGATCAAATCATACCAAAATCAATCTAATCGGATCAAATCAAATTCACATCCAATAAGATCAGATCTAATTGCCTGATATAACCTTTAAATGCATCAGATCGGACCCAATCAGATCAAATCAGACAAAACAGATTTATTTTTTGGAAACCCATCTTGTACTATCATGAAAACAGTTCGATTTGTTTCGGGATATAATTTGTTCGAAACAATATCGAACCAGTATTTTTGTGTACCCCTAATTGAATGTGGTAAATAAGAGTGGGAAAATTTATGGACCAAAAAACTGTTTTGTTTCAAAAATCAGATGGCTGATTCTAAAAATTTTCAAGTTTATCTCAAATTTTAGAATCCCTCCATATTTTTTCATTGCCCGCCTATGTTACCCCAATTTCACAAATAGGTCTATGGCCTCCCATTAAGACCTATAGGGATAATTTCCTTCATCTTCTTCAAAATCACAACCATCTCTTGTATGATAGAGAACATCACGAAAGAGCTCTGAATAATAATCTTTCTCTCTCTAGTTTCGAAGTGAACAGTAACTCGAAATCAGTTTCGGCCAAATTGCAGCTGCTTTCAGGTAGATATCAACAAATTAATTACAGATTCTTCTTCTCCAACTCAACGTAACCCCACCCATCCTACCCCTCCAAAGACGAAGGAACTCCGTGAGTTTCTTCAGGGTATCGATGTGGATATGGAGGTGGCTCTTGATGCTTCTGGGTCTGGTTTTCTTAATATATATCTCTGTATCTTGTAAAATTTCTATTCCCAAATCAAGTTATACCTTTTAATTTTTTCCTAGTACAATGAGTTTGGATTCAATTTCTCACGAGGTCGTCTGAGCAGCCAATCGGCTTTTTGGTGCAATAATCCATAATATCTGACTTTGTTTGATGTCCGAATCAGTTTTATTTTTAATGTTTGGGGAAATTTATTCATCAATTGGGTCTAATATTTGACTCTTTATCACCATTGATGGCCAATTTTAGGGATGAATGCTTTTCCTCCATTTGTTTTAGTAACTTAAATGATTCTGTCTAATTTTTTTTTGGAACTTGTTTGTTTAATTAAAATCTTTTCATGAAGATACATCCCATTCGTATTAAAGCTGAGATGTTGGGTAGCAGAAAGTAGATTAGAGATGACAGGTATTGTTCTCATCTCTATTATTTTGTGTCGAATGTTTGTATCTTGAGAATCTTGTGCTCATCTCTAATACGGAGTATGTGTCTTCATCCTTTTTGGATATTTTGCTGTTCCACTTAGCTGTACCCTTTTTTGTTTGGTTTGGGGACTAGGCACCTTATGAAATTTTTTGTGAGTCTAAAAATGAATGTGTTCTAAACACAAGTCTGTTTTTTCCTTTTCTATGAATATGTTTTTTTCTCTGTGTTGTTTTTCTAGACTTGCTTGATCTAACAATTAAGAATTGAAATTTAAGAGTGGTATTTTTAAATTTGTTAGGGTTAGGTGTAGTTTCCGATCCTAAAATCCTTGTGTGGTTTATAAGAATTAGATCAGAGACTTCTTTGGATTTTTTAATTATTGAACTACATTAGGAAATTTAAACTAAAAGTAGAATACAAAGAAAAAAGATAGTTGACCACAGCAAGATTTCTAAAGTGCTTAGTAGAATATATTATCAAAATGCTATAAGTAAATTAACTATAAGTAGTACTTTTTAGTTTCTTTAAATTTCAATCCTGTACGAAAAAAATTCATTCCCTTTGAATTTCCTTTTCAATAAAAAATGTTTGATCCATATTCTTTTATTAATGTTTGGTCCTTATTCTTTTATGTTTGATCCATAAAATTTTTTTGATCCATATTCTTTTATTAATATTTGGTCCATATTCTTTTATGTTTGATCCATAAAAAATGTTTGATCCGTATTCTTTTATTAATTTGTTGGGAAAGGAAGAATTGATTGATATCAGACCTAAGAGAACGAATATGGTTGAGGTTGTTTTATTGATGAAGACAGTTCAGAGCTTGTTCAAACGTGAGTACTTTTTTTTGGCCTCCATCAATTTTGTGTTGTGTCATCAAATGTGATGAATGTCTGTTCGAGCACCTATCAAGTAGTTTGTTAGTTTTTAGCTGGTTCTTCTATTGTTCCAGCTAGTCTTAAGATGGACACAGAAGGACGATAGGCCTTCATGGTCACAGGGAGGTCACAGGGAGGAATTTGCGATGAAGTGTGCTTAATTTCTTGAACTGTTGCAATGAAATTTGTATAAGAATCATGACTGCAATCAGGATTTGGTGCATTCACAGCCACAGCAGCAACCCCTTCTGTTTTTGTGCAAGACTCCCACCACAGGATGTTTACTTTTCGAACTGGAGAATTATTTTTCTAATGGGACATTAAGCTATGCTTCTCTTCCTTATAGGAGATTGTTCCAGACAGTAATGGCGAGCCAAAACTTCTGTGAGATAGATACAGCGGACCCTTTATGTTCCTAGGGCCACCATTCTACATTCACTATGGGTCCTACGTTCTATTTGGATTTCGCTATCTTCTTTTTGTTTTTTTTTGCTTTTATGAGTGAGATTGATTGATAGTATGAGTTCCCAATTGATTGATAGTATGAGTTCCCAATTCCCTTTGTGTGTAGCGTGATATTAAATAGTCTGTCCATGTGTTTTTTATTTTCTTTCAATAAAAGTGTTTATTTTTTAAAATGATTATTGTTTTAAACAGCGGTTATTTGATTGTTGTCTAAAGTTTCGCCCAAAATTACGAAAGTAACGTTAGATATAGCGTACACATATTCGTTGTAGTGAAGGTTATCGTTTCATTGAATTTTAAAAAAGTTTGAGACTTAATAGCTAAACTATTGTTTAAAAAGAGTATTTTTAACTTATTATAAACAACTCTAGCAAAACAACCATATGACACAGACAATTAGTATAGATTACTATATCTCATAATTTTAAAAACAGCTCTACGCTTATCATCCACGCTACTCTTTAAAAGAGTTTTATGAACTTATTCTATACAATTGTGAAAAGAACCCGTGTGACACATACTACTAGTAATACATTACCGTTTCTCATAATTTTAAAAATAGTTCTAGGCTTTATAGCCTGACTATTGTTTAAAATTAGTATTCTTAATTTATTATACACAACTGTGGCAACAAAAACCATATCTTGATATGACACAGACAACTACTAATAGATTACCGTTTCTATGAACTTTAAAAACAGATGTTGGCTAAGTATCTAGATTATTGTTTAAAAAGAGTATTGTATTTTTATTATAAACAACAGTGCCAAAAATACTACTCCCTCCGTCCCCCATAGATCTTTCCAATATCCCTTTTTCTTTGTCCACAATAGATCTTCTCATTTCATTTTTTAACAATTAAAATACCACAACTACCCCCACTTACTTTATTTATTACACCTCACCCACCTCATTTAATACACTCTACCCATTTTCATTAAGGGTATTATGGTAAACTTTCACTTTTTTTCAACTCTTCTTAAAAACCACCCAAAGTCAAAATGAGAACATCTTAGAGGGACGGAGGGAGTATATGACATAGACAACTAGCAATAGGTTATTGTTTCTCATAACTTTAAAAACAGTTCTAGACTAAATAACTAGACTACTGTTTAGAAAGAGTATTCTTAACTTATTATTGACAACTGTGATAACAAAAATTGTATTTTGTTATGACACAGACAACTAATATTAGAATACCGTTTCTCAAAACTTTAAAAATAGTTTTAAGCATAATAGCTAGACTACTACTTTTGTAGCCAACAACAACAAACAGTAGTCTGATTTTTTTAACTACTGTTTTTCCATAAACAGTAGTTAATCAACAGTCGTCTGAGACTGTTTTTGGCGTAGTGACGTAAATCGTGTGTTCTTTATTTTATTTCCGTTGCTATTTATTTGTGGTGGTGTTGCTGATTTTTTGGAGTATATAGTGCTTTGTTGTTAATCTCATTAATTTGGGGAAAAGATTTTTGATACACTCACGTATCAACTAAGGAAGGTTAAGGCACCTTCAAGCTTTTGGAAACAATGAGAAGGATAGGAGAAATGAGATGAGGGAAGAAGAGAAGCCTTGAACGGTCGTGGGGAAGGTGGAAGAAGAGGAGGAGTGGGGAGTTAAGGCTAGAGAGAGAAAGAGAGTAGGGAAAAGTGGTTCATATTTTTCATATTCTCCCATGCGGATGTACACCACCTTAAATAATGGTTCCCCAAACCCTAATTAACTAATATCTATCCTGTCGGTTAAAAAAAAGCATCGAGGTAAAGAACCGAAAAGAAACCCTCGAAAGAGCTTATAATTCGCTCACCTAAGAAAATCTAAGGTACAACAATAAAATAAATTAAATACAAATAAAATATTAAGTCTCATAATCCTTCCGCCACGCCGGTGGTCTCCTTTCCCTCGACCCCCGACGTAACTCCTTGCATGGATGTGCTCCCACGTCGTCTTGCTCCGGTGCCTGCGTCCCTGGTTTTCCATGCACCTTGCCCTGGGATTCGGTCGTAACACTCTCCCCCTGTTCAATTACCACCTTTTCCTCAAGGTGTAAGTCCGGGTAGAATCAGCGTAGTTTGTCCAAGGGCTCTCACGTAGCATCGTCCTTGTCGCCGTCCGACCATTCCACTAACCCTTGTACTTCCGTAGCTCCGCCGAAAAGCACTCTGCGCTGAGCATGAATACGAACCGGCCTCGAGACGGGGTCCCCATGGCGGAATTCCCCAGGTAATGGCAAAGGTGAGATGCGCGATGCGTCCCCCCGGAACGGTTTCAACAGGGAAACATGGAACACGAGGTGTATGCGGGAGCTATCTGGTAGTTGTAAACGATAGGCCGCCGGTCCCACCTTGGCTGTAACGCGAAAGGGGCCGTAATAACGTCGGGCGAGCTTTTGTGACCGGCGTGTCACGATCGAGTGCTGCCTGTACGGTTGTAACTTTAACAAGACGAGGTCACCGACCTCAAAATGAACCTCGCGACGATGCTTATCGGCTGCCGCTCGCATCCTTTGTTGCGCCAATTCCAAATTCTGACGGAGACGAATTAGTGTCTCCGCTCGCTCCGTGAGGAGTGTATCCACGGCAGGCAGTGAGCATTCCCCTTGGGTATATGGTAAAATAGTTGGTTGTTCATGGCCATATAGGCTTGAAAAGGAGTCATGCCCAACCCGCTGTGATAACTTGTATTCAATGCATATTCCGCCCATAGCAACAGGATCGTCCACCGGTTTGGGGTGTCGTGAGTAAAAGCCTGTAAATATTGTTTGACCCCCCTGTTCATCACCTCGGTCTGCCCATCCGTTTGTGGGTGGAAGGCGGTGCTATGGTGCAGAGTTGTCCCACTCAATTTGAGTAAGTGGCGCCAAAATTTACTCACGAAGACCCGGTCGTGATCAGAGATAATCGTCTTCGGAAACCCATGGAGCTTAACCACGATATCCACAAATAAGAATGCCACGCGTTGTGCTTCAAAATCTGCCGGCAAAGCCCCCAAGTGAATAAACTTCGTCAATCTGTCAACCACAACCAAAATAAACGAAAAGCCTCTCGATGGTGGCAAGCTCACAATAAAATCCATCGAGATATCGTCCCACACTTGCACGGGTATGGGTAGCGGCTGCAATAGTCCCCCCAAGGGTTGTGTAGAGTACTTCGTGGTCTGACAAATGAAACAATGGCGAATATATTTCCGGACATCACCCCGCATCGTCGGCCAATAAAAGACCATGGCCAACCGTTTGAAAGTGCGATGTTCACCTGCATGTCCTGGGAGTGTCGTGGTATTCATATAGGAGTTGCTTTTTGAGAGAAGAGTCCCTCCCAATACACAGCCGCCGCCGGAAGTAGATCAGCCCATCCGAAACCGAGTAGTCGGCGGGAAGAGCACCTTGCTTAAAGGCCTCAAGAAGACGAATTAAATCTGGTTGTGTGCTATTATCCAACCGTATGGCGTGCATCAAATCTGGAATTGGCTGTGACATGAGAACAAGTGACTGCCCTTCGACTGGCTGCTCATCCCGACGCGAAAGAGCATCTGCCACCTTATTCGAAGCACCACTTTTATACTCAATTTGGAAATGGAAACCCATCAACTTACGGATATAGAACTACTGATCGGGCGTTTGAATCACCTGGTGCAAAAGCTCGCGTAAGCTCCGTTGATCTGTACAAATAACAAACCGGCGCCCCAACAGGTACTGACGCCATTTTTGGACCGCCTCGACGATGGCGTACAACTCCCGGTGATATGCTGAGGCGGCTGCCCGGCGTGGCCCAAGTTTCTTACTAAAAAATGCAATTGGGTGCTCCTGTTGAAGCAGCACCGCTCCAATTCCCGTGGCACTTGCATATGTCTCCACCACAAAAAGAATTGCAAAGTTGGGTAACCTTAAAACTGGAGCTACTGTCATGGCCTCCTTGAGAGCGTGGAAGGCAGTGTCCGCACGCTCATTCCAAACAAAGGCCTCTTTTTTTAAGAGGTCCGTGAGAGGAGCCGCAATTTGGGAATAGTGACGGACAAAACGTCGATAATAACCCGTCAAGCCAAGGAAGCCGCGGAGCTGCTTGAGTGTCCTCGGTTTCGGCCATTGAACCATTGCTGTAATCTTCGAAGGGTCAGCCACGAGAGAGCCTGCCGTAATCACGTGGCCCAAGTAATCGATGGAGTCGCGACAAAACGAACATTTAGATTGTTTGACATAGAAAGAGTTTGTCTCCAACAGTGATAACACCACCCGAAGATGTTCGGAATGACTGTCGACAGATGCACTGTAAACCAAGATGTCATCGAAAAACATGATGACGAAGTGCCGGAGATAAGGCCCGAACAAACGGTTCATGGCTGCTTGAAACGTGGACGGTGCATTCGTAAGGCCAAACGGCATTACAAGGAATTCGTAGTGTCCCTCATGCGTACGAAAAGCCGTTTTGTAAACGTCCTTATCATGCATCCGAATTTGATGATACCCCGCGCGTAAATCTAACTATGTGAAACACCGTGCTTGGCCCAGTTCGTCAAAAAGCTCATCAGCGGTCGGAATGGGGAAGTAGTCTGGAACCGTGACTGCATTCAAAGCCCTATAGTCCACGCAAAACCGGTAGGAGCCATCCTTCTTTTTTACTAACAATACGGGCGACGAAAACGGGCTATGACTTGGTTGTATTAATCCTTGCTCCAACATCTCCCGAACAAGTTGTTCAATTGCATCTTTTTGAAAATGGGGGTAGCGGTACGGCCGCACGTTGACTGGGGGGTTCCGGGCTGTAAAAAAATGCGGTGATCAACACCCCGGCGAGGCGGCAGTGAGCTCGGCAGTGCAAAGACACGGCTGTGTGTCTCCAGGACCTCCTGGACGCTAGGGGGTAAGGTCGGCGCCAGTTCCTCGGCCGAATCAGATTCACCCATGCCAAAAAGAAATACCTCCACACACTCTAATACCTCCCTGGCTGTAGTAAAGGCATGCAAAATATTCAAGGACATGGGTTTAGGTGCATGAGTGTCGCCGCGTAGAACCACTGCCTTATCCTTCCAACGAAATTCCATCGTCAATGTCGAGTAATCATGGGCCACCTTGCCCAGCAACTGTAGCCATTGAACGCCCAATACCACATCGGGACCGTGGATGTGTAGGACA